CTGCTCTGTGACAGGAGATCAAAGGGAGATGATACACGACCTCCCTTTGAACTCCTCTCCAGTCCCCAAATGCAGGAAGTGATGTATATCACTGTCATTTGCTATTTGATAGACACCCTTTTGTTTTATTTTGAATGTTCAGATGTTTTTGTGCATGAACTTAGGAGCTAACCATGGTACCTATTGGAGTTCTCAGCACAATCTACAGTGCAATTAAAAACATAATAATTCTGTCAACTATTTTTGTTTTAATGTGAAAATAAATTTTGTTGGGGGAGCGCTCTCCATAATGGGGGCTGATGATGACTTCTTGCCATTATGTGTAAGTATACCTGCCCATTATGGCACAGCTACCTCCTACTTTGCTGTCCTCCAGGATCCTGTCACAGATGTAGGGCTTAAAGAAAAAGAGAGCGCCTCCATCTTGTAAAACCGTTTTATTATAACGATGTAAAAGGAGTAAAAAATCATGCTCGCAAAGGAACTGGAATGAATAAACATATAATATATATCGGCAGACACCGAGATCGTGAAGCTCCAACACAGCCGACAAACTGCACAGCCCTCTTGGTTGACGCGTTTCGGAGGACACGCTTCCTTCCTCAGAACCAATGATTTAAGGCTTGTTCACACCAGATGCTGTAGTGATGCAGTTCCTTCCGTTTTGCAGCTGCGTCAAAAACACATCAGAATGCTTTCCTATGGGATTTCTGGTGCTCTGTTCACATCAGTGTAGTCCGTTCCGATGCCGCTGGAAAAAATACTGCTTGCCCTATTTTAGCAGCATTGGATTGTGGCGCAACGCATCAAAAACTGGAACACCTGAAATCCCATTTTAAGCAAAAAAACTAAACACATTAATCGCAGTCAAATTGCGGCCAAAGGCATTGCACTACAGCTGCGCATACGCACACAGTTCTGTTGTTAACTAGCCCTAAACTTTTTCGAGTCCCACGGCAATCCTCGTGGTCAATGGACTCCCATAGATGTAACCCCTGTGCATTATGCTTGATGCCCAACCCTGTTTTCGTTATTGGTTGGTTAACTTGACAATAACTTTATTGTGTCTGTTTTGGGTGGGGGGTGCGCGCTGGCTTAAAGTCTAGCAACACCCGCCACTACCTATTCAAAATTCTCTCCTGCAAGGTAAATTAACACTCTCATAGTAAGGGGCATTTTACATTTGGACTCTGTGGTTTAGAATTGAAATGTGCTCAGCATACATGCACATATTGTTTATTACAAGGCTAGAACATTCTTAGCCAGGTAGTGGATGTGTCAGCAATGACCGCTCTTGCCTTTTTTTTTTTTACCGTTCGTATTTTTGTATCCATAAGTAGTTACTGCCTCCTGAATCCTGCGTGAATGTGTATGGCCTGTATTAAATAAAATGAGATAAAATACATAAGCTTTTTTGCTGCTTGATTTTTGTAGTGCAATTTTTTTTTTTTTTGTTAAAGACCCTGTCACCAGATTAATTATTTCAAGATCTTCCATCAGATTACATGTGTGTTTTAATGTATTTTTGCAAGCCTCCCTTTTGTAGACATCCAAAAACCCTGAGACTTTTGGGTATGAACAAAAGAACAGGCTGGACCACCACTATTTTATTTTTATTTTTTCCAACAAAATGTATTTCTCTTGAAGCTAAAGCATTTCACAAAGGCAGTAAACTGTGTCCGGTGGGCTGCTGTCACCCGGACTGGAATACAAGTAAAGTTAATAGCTGTGATGTAGCCTGTTCTTCCGAACATTGGATGGGTATCATTTAGGACTGAGATGTTTCCAGGTGGGCCTGGACAGTCATGTAAGCACACATTAGCCTGGTCAGCAGCCCCAGCAGGCTCAGCTGTCCATCTTGGATGTGACATCACTTGAGCTGTCACTCAAGTGAAACTATAGTATTCCCCTTTACTCGCCCCAAGGCCGCTGGCAACAAAATAAAAGGTTATGTAGGAAAGGAAGGGGTGAATGAGCTGGGCCAACACAGAGGGAAATGAGATTCTTCCATAAGAGGAGAAGGCTATGACAGGCAAGGAGAGAAGGGTCTGTGCTAGAGAATTGATTATTTTGGAGTAGTCACGTTTTCGAACTAGTTCACAGGCACATTACAGGTGAATAAAAAAGGTAAGCATTGAAAATACTTGGATTTTTGTGATATCAGCAATTGTTTAAAGTTTGTTACAGGGTCTCTAAGTCTTTGAACATACACAAGGTAATGTGTGCTGTCTGAACAAGTCATGGACTAAACTTAGAAACCCTTGTTTCTCTCTGCTTTTATTAAGTTATTGTTTACGCAAAATGTTGGCTATTACTGGGTCTTAATCTGTACCTTTTTTATTTAATCTGTGCTGGTCTAGAACAGGACTACACCCAGTCACATTGTGTTTGTGCAGGCTTCTATGAGGTTTGTAATAAATGGACAATTGTTGTCCTAGCAGGGGCGTTACTTGGCTGCAAACACTGAGCTGGTAACAAATGTTCAACTAATACATCCCCTGTAGCAGTGAGGAATTTCTTAATAAAAAAGAAAATCCTTCAACTATTCTGCGCTAAGCACTTATGAACTGCTTTTAGCATGAATTACTTGTATGACGTGAAGGTATTTTGATACAACCTGCCGAGCGTTAATAATGCTTTGTTCCTATATAGTGTTTAATCTATTCCATAAAGAGACCTGTATGTAGTACAGCTGAAGGTGCTCTTTTTCTTGGCTATGATACTTCATCAGAGACACAATTGCTAAAATGTATTGTTCATTATTGTGACCCTAAATTAAATCTTCTAAAATGCTTTTCATTAGTCGGCGACTGGCCAATTGTAATGTATTCAAATATTTCTTTTTTTAATGGATTCTTGCTAGTTTTTTCATTTAAAAAAGAAAACAAAACACCGGGGTGGTCTTTGATCTCTCATGTTATTCAGGTAGATCTTAACCTCTCCAGGTTTGCTACCTGTGCTCTAAAGGTGCCCATACACTTTACAATTATCATTCGATAATCGTCTGCAGTTTCATACGATAATCCGCCAGTTGATTGGAAGTGCACGATCACAATTTTATACAGGACTCCTGTTTAAGGAGGCAGCAAACCAGTCATCTGCACCCACATCCTCTATCACCAGTAGTGCGCTTATCAAATTTTTCTTTTGCTTTTATCACAATTACTGTACAACTGGCTGAATTTGGTTGAACTGGCAGACTGGAAAACTTCCTTCGAAATGGACGATAATCGGTGGCTTATTGGCATTTTTGTACAACACAAATTGCAACATGAACACTTCCCATGCGCATAGGAAATCTGTTATGTCAATCGACGAAATTCGGCCAATTAGTATTGCCAACAAACGATTATCGAAATCTACATTGGTCTGAGCATTATGGGGTATCTTCAAACTGAATGGTAATTGTAAGGTGTTTGGTCACCTTTTTAGGCTGTGACTTTTCTGACTTAAAAGAGAACTATGGGGTAAGTGTTTTTTTTCCTCATAGTTCTCTTTAGGGTCATGGCAGGACATATACTAACCTCCTCCCGTGACCCAAAGCTCAGTGTATAGTGAGCTATTGGCCGCGATATACTGAGAGCGTTGTGATCCGTGCCGGCTGTGGCAATACTGTCAAGATCCACCCAGCTATGTGAGTGACAGCTGGCTCTGCCTATCCAGAGGCAGAGCCAGCTGTGCCCATCCCCTTCCCTGTCCACACCTCCAGTCAGCACTGGAGGATAGTGGAGGGGGGAATCCCTGTTGGGAGCGGTGACTGACAGTCATATGTCATACTCTCTGCAGGGATATGACTGAGAAGTGAGTGACGATATGTGTTCGCTCACTTCCCGATCAATAGAGCCGATGTGTGACAGTTGTTTTGTCACACGTCGGCTCCAACTATGAGGATGAGTGGAAATGACACGCCTCATAGTTCTGCTTTTAATTCGGTACTGTGATAGAGCTGCCAGAAAGAAGGGATTTTTGTGAGGCTTGTTAACCACTTCAAGACCAGGTGTTTAGACCCCCTTCCTGGCCAATGTTTTCTCCTTGGTAATATTTCTGTACATTCTATAATGCATAGACCTAATCTCCTGAATATGTAATGAAATCACCACTGTGCCAGGATTTCACCTAAAGCATGCCATGAAGTGTCCTGAAAGAATCTGAGTAGCTTTTTAGTGCTGCTTTCCAGGATTCTGACAAAACTTAGTGTGTGATGAGACCACCTGGGTCGATGAAAGTAGATTACAGAATCGACTGTTGAATGAATCAGGCTGACATTTTTACAGTTGTACAGTGACTTCAACCAATTAGCGTAAGGCTGAATGAAAAAAAAAAAATCTAAGCGTGTATGGTCAGCATTAAGGTGCCCACACACCTTACAATTTATCTGCAGATTTTCTGTGTGGTCAGATGGAAAAGGTGCAACAGATTCCTCCATCTACGCTATACTGTGTGGATGGAGTAATCTCCACCTGGGCTAATCTGTTGCACTTTTTCCATCTGACCACAGCAAATCTGCAGATAAATTGTAAGGCGTATGGGCACCTTTAGACTGATTTAGGAGACTGGACTTGCAGGCACAAACCTGTTATGGGAAACCCCCTCTCCCCCTCCAGACAATGCATCATGGACTTCTGTTTTGGCATTATACTCTACTTTCTGGTAGGACCATTAACATTGTGTGGGGTCTTGGCTCGATCCCTGTTGCTTCATCATGCTGTAAGCAAAGTGTGTAGTGTACAATGACCTGCAAATTAAGTGGTTAATAACAGCTGAGATGACCTTTTTAAAGTGACCCGTGCAAAAACACATTTTTCAGGTGTTTCACAGTTCTGGCTCATGGTGGGAACAATCGTAAAGAGAGCTAGAAGATCTTCATTGCACTGACTGTTAAAAATACATCTAGGAAAACAACATTTTGATGGATTTGACGTACTGTTTTTGTGATTGTGCCATGTTCTAGGAAGCAGGTTCTTTTTACTATTAAGTCAGTTTTGTGTTCTTTCTTTCAGGTTGCTATGGTGGAAGTCCAACTGGAAGCAGATCATGTCTACCCCACTGGCCTCCTGATTGCTTTTAGTGCCTGTACTACTGTTCTGGTTGCTGTACATTTATTTGCACTGATGATCAGCACCTGCATTCTTCCCAACATTGAAGCAGTGAGCAATGTCCATAATCTGAACTCTGTGAAAGAGTCCCCTCATGAAACGATGCACCGTCACATTGAACTAGCATGGGCTTTCTCTACAGTCATTGGGACGCTGCTGTTCCTGGCTGAAGTTGTCTTGCTTTGTTGGGTGAAGTTTCTTCCGGTGAACAGTCCGAAGTCGGCGGTCAACGATACGTCTATTAGCCCTGGCAAGGCAGCAGCTATTGCCTCAACCTCCATCATGGTTCCATTTGGAGTAATCTTTATAATATTTGCTGTTCATTTCTACAGGTCCCTGGTCAGCCACAAAACAGACAGACAGTTCCAGGAGCTAAATGAACTTTCTGAGCTAGCTCATCTTCAGGACCAATTGGACCACAGAGGGGAATCGGTCCAACCCCCTGGTCATTATGCATAGGTTTTGTTCCCCTAATAAAGGGCTACATTCTCCTGTCTTACAATATTTTGGATACATAAGCGAGATGTTATTCTGCAAGGGGCAGTTCATTTGTACTAAGAATGCACTTTCACTCTAGTCAGGCAAGAGGCAGAAGTAAACTTGAGGGCTTACTAGTATCATCCTCCATTTTCAGTGACGAAAACAAGTCTTTATCAATATGCCTAGAATATGTCTGTCAGCAGAATGTAGATCTGTGCAGGGCCCTGCATGACATGTGTTAGGTATTCTGTCTACACACAAGCTGCTGGAAGAATTTTACCTACTGTAAATGTATTTAGCTGTGTTTTACTTTGGGTAAAATAGGTTGTGGACCAGTCCCAGATTAGATCCTTTCAGCAGGTTGATTTCGGTGCACTTTGTCACTGTTTATCCTGCATCATGCTTGTCCTTTGCTGTCTGTGATTGTCACAAAGACACTGCAGCCTTACCCAGGGTATGGAGTGAGTGTTGGATTGCTTTGCTTGTCACTGTAACTCAGATCTGTTGCATGTAGGGAGCTGACAGGAACGTAATGTGATGCATGCCACAATTACCTATGTGTGAGCCACTGGAATGCTTTGAATGCTTAACAGAGAATGTGTATATATGCAAAGACTCTTTATAGTTGACCTTGATCAACATTTTTTTACATTTGGAAGTCGCACATTTCAAACTTAGTTTTTATTGAATACATTTACCATATCGCTTTAAGTGCCTCCAGTGCATCTTCATTGATGCATTGTATGTCTGACCTGTTAAATGTTGTATGCAAATTGTATTCTTTACTGAATATAAATAGATATCCCTTGAACATTTCCACTGCTAAAGCAAGCAATAGACTTGTTAGACCTCCTGTGTGGAGATGTCACTTTTCAAGGGGATTTCCCGAAAAACGGGAAATCTGATCTGTTAGCACCCCACTGTGTAGTAATAAAAAGGGTGATTTCCCCAGCAGGAAACCCGTACCGAGAGGAATGCAGTGGCTTCTGAAAATGCCTGGCTGTCTTAGTCTTTAATATTTGAGTCCTAGCCCTAGAGCAAGCATGCGGCCGGTAAAATCGACATACTTGTTTTGGTTCTACGAATTAGGAAGAAGTGAACCATTGGGTTCCTTTGCCACAACCAGAAATGTAGTATTGTGGAAGGGGGGGGGGGGC